GAAGTGTCGAGATTGAAGTGGAGGCCAAGTTTGCCGTCCAGTACTTCATAGTCCACGCCTCCTCTATACTCAATGTCACCAAAAGTCAAGTGTTTCTCAAATCAAGTAATACAGAGATTCCTGTCGTCAAGACATTCCGCTACAAACCGCACGACTTTTGGGTCATCCAATTGGCACAACCTGTCGACGCGAATACCTATCGACTGGTGTATGAATTTGAAGGCAACCTACTTCTGGGCGGACTGTCCGGACTCTACAGAAGTAGTTATGTGAACGAAGACAATGAGACGGTAGGGCTGGCGTCCACTCAATTCGAGTTCACAGACGCCCGCAAAGCCTTCCCCTGTTTTGATGAGCCGTCGTTTAAGTCGACGTTTGAGGTGACGATAATACACGACAAACACATGAAGACAACCCTTTCCAATATGGATATTAAACAAGAGACCCCTGACCCGGACACTGATTGGGTGACCACTGAGTATAACGAGACTCCTGTCAATATGGTTACCTATTTGGTGGCAATGGTTGTCAGCGATTTTGACTGCAAAACCGATACAGTCGATGGTAAGGGTGTAGGTGTGTGCGCCTCACCCGTCCAAAGCCATAAACTGGACTTCGCAATGGACTCAACGAAGAAATNTGCAAAACCGATACAGTCGATGGTAAGGGTGTAGGTGTGTGCGCCTCACCCGTCCAAAGCCATAAACTGGACTTCGCAATGGACTCAACGAAGAAATGTTTGAATTATTTGGCTAAAGTGTACACTGAGATAGACTACCCGTTGCCTAAAGTAGATATGATAGCCATCCCTGACTTCTCGTACGGAGCGATGGAGAACTGGGGTTTAGTCACATTCAGAGAGATGAGACTCGTCTGGAGCGACGAAGACAGCACTTCCGCCAATAAGATGTCTGTGTTGGCGGTTATCGCTCACGAGTTGGCACACTTTGTAATTATCTGATATTTCATGCTAAATTAAAATTTTATTAACTGTTGATAACTTGTAATTGATTAGTGGTTTGGAAATCTGGTGACATGCGAGTGGTGGTCAGACTTCTGGCTCAACGAGGGTTTCGCCACTTTCGTTGAGTATAAAGCCGTAGCCGCGAGTCAACCCGATTGGAAATATGTATGCATTGAGTCTGCAATGAGTTTTGTGGACATCAATATTATTATAATAATAATGTAATTTTGATTTTAAATCACTTTTAGGAAGAATTATTCCTAATATCCGATTATATGACGGCTTTGAATGCGGACTCATTAGAGACATCGCATCCATTGGTGAGGGAAGTGAAGACACCTCAAGACGTTATGCAATACTCCAGTTCTATAGTCTATTCAAAGGTGGGCACAAAACTTATAATTAAGACTATTTATAATTTCATAAAATAATTACCGGTAATACTTTATAATTCATTTGTATGTAGGGCTCGACTGTAATACGAATGCTTGAGTTTGTTATTAATATGAAAACTCCGGATAACTTCCGGAAAGGAATCCAAAATTATCTCAATACTAATAAATACCAGAATGTTGTCACTCAAGATCTTATGTTTGCATTGAAAACGTTTTACGAAACTGATTTTGTAAGAATCCATAGTTCTAACCATAGTACAGGTTTAAAGTAAAATATTTATAAATTCATAGCCATCTCCAAATCCAATTCTTGACGATTTAATGGAGTCGTGGACCACAAAAGCAGGCTTTCCTTATATTAATATAACTAAAGGAGTGGGAAATACATATACTCTTAAACAAAGCAGGTTTTTGTCTAATGGAAAATCAGACGAAACAGAGTATGTTTTATATTTTAAATAAATAATTATTATAAGGCATTATAATTGTGATTATGACCTAATACTGAATAATAGGACCGTTTGGACGATTCCGCTCTCATATTACAAGAATTTTGATAACAAGGATATAACGCTAGCATTTGTATCCGAGGCTTCACAAGATTTAGAAGTTTTAATGGATCC